ATATATATGATATATATGATATATATATATATATATATATATGATATATATATATATATGATATATATATATATATATATATATATATATCATATGTAATATATGTACATAGTATATATATATATATATTAAATATGGTAGCCCCCCTCCTAAAGATCTATGTATTTCATCTGTCTCCACTCACGATCATCTCATCATACCACCCTTCCACTCATGATCATCTCCTCATGACCGCACAAACCGACAGTATTGAATCCCAATGCGGCCCAATATTTCAATATGGCCGCCACATTGAAATATTGAGCCACATTCAGTTTCAACATGGCGGATCCAAGACCCAAGATTCTCCAGGACTCTTGGGGAGGAATTTTGGATCACGGATCTTGAATCCGCCATATTGAAATTCAATATGGCCGCAATACTTCAACCTGGCTCTCCCTGGATGCAAGATTGCTCCCAGGAGTCCCGTGCAATCTTGGATCTTGGATCGTGGGTCCGCCATATTGAAGTTTATTTCAATGTGGTCCTTTGCCCTTCTTGGTGTTGTTATCTCCACGGCTCTTGTGACAGTCTGCATGTGCATATCTGTTACATGTGCAGAGCAAAGCAGCTTAAGGCAACTGCGTCATGCTTTGCGCGCTATTTCACAAAATTCGGATACTTCCCAAACTTTTCGATTCATCTGTATTATCCGAAATGAGCTATTTCACAAAACCTGGATAAATTTGGATAGGTTGACTATTTTGGAAGCTTTCCGAGTTATCCGAAATGAGCTCTTTCGAATAACTCCGATAGTTTTGCTATTTCGGTGCTATCGAGCCGCTGCGTTTTCCGAGAATGAGGACCGCGAGAGGCGGTTCGATAGCACAAACTTTTTTATAGGGTTTATATAAGCTATACATGGGGTTTCATATACATCGGGTTTTCTACCAGGTATTTCATAGAGTATTCCAGATGGTATTCTATACAGCATACATATAGGGGACAGTATTCCAAAGCGCATTCTATGGGATATTTTATACGGTGTTCCATCAGGTATTGTATGAGGTATTCTATAACGTATATATACAAGAACTTATTCGATAAGGTACCCTATAGGCTACAGGGTCTTCAATAAGTAAATCTAGGGTATATATAGAGGGTATTCTACAAGGGTTTACTTAGGTTATTCTATAGGAATTCCGTTGAGGCTTGCAGACAGGGTATTCTGTAAGGTATAAAAAACAACTCGCCTAGATTGCTGCTTTCTTTCACCCAGATCCGTTCTTCAATAAGCTACAATGAGGACAGCGACTGGCGGGTCGAGAACACCAAACTTTCCGAAGGGCTTCCTTTCAGAGAATTTGGTGCCATCGAACTGCGCTCTTCCGAAGGGTTCCTTCAGTAAATTTGTGCCATCGAACCGCTGTGTTTTCCGTCGCAAACTCGGACAAATTGTACGAAGTGTCGCTTCAGAAAATTTGGTGCTATCAAACCGTTGCGTTTTCCGAACATGAGGGCAGCGAAGGGCGGCTCGATAGCAGCAGGATTTTGAAGCGACACTCCATCTGTATCAGTATCTCTATTTTTGTCTACATCTGTATCTATGTATCCATATATTTATGTTCATATGCTATCCCAGGGCCCGGTTTTTTTTTCTTTGTGTCTGGCTTGGCTCGGCTTGGCTTGGCTTGGCTCGGCTTGGCTTGGCTCGGCTTGGCTTGGCTCGGCTTGGCTTGGCTCGGCTTGGCTTGGCTCGGCGTGGCTTGGCCTTTTTTTTTCCTCTGCGTCTGGCTTGGCTCGGCTTTTTTGGCTTGGCTCCGCTTGGGCTTGGCTCGGGGCTTTGTTTTTTTCTGTGTCTGGCTTGGCTCGGCTTTTTCTGCGTCTGGCTTGGCTCCGTGGGGGCTTGGGGGGAGTTTTTTTTTTTCTCTTCGTCTGGCTTGGCTCGGTGTGGCTTGGGGAGGGCAGATTTTTTTTTCTCTTGGTCTGGCTTGGCTTGGTTTTTTTCTTCGTCTGGTTTGGCTCGGTGGGGCTTGTTTTTGTTTTTGCTGTCGTCTGTTTTTTTTCTCTTCGTCTGGCTTGGCTCGAAGAAAAAAGGCCGAGCCAAGCCTGAGGAAGAGCAACATGCCAGACGAAAGAAAAAAACTTCCCGCAAACCCCAACGAGCCCATCCAGACGATCAAAATAATCGAGCCAAGCCAGACGAAGAAAAAACCGAGCCAAGCCAGACCAAGAGAAAAACAAAAACAACTTCTGCCCTCCCCAAGCCCCACCGAGCCAAGCCAGACGAAGAAAAAAACCGAGCCAAGCCAGACGAAGAAAAAAACCGAGCCAAGCCAGACGAAGAAAGAAAAAACTCCCCCTTGGCCCCCACAGAGCCAAGCCAGACGAAGAAGAAAACCGAGCCGAGCCAGACGAAGAACAACACAACCCTCCGCCCTTGCCAAAACCCACGCCTGAGCATCGCTTTACATCGAAAGCGAAATATTCCAATAGAATTCCTGTTTTTTGCATTTCAACGGTTGCAGAAATCCAGAATCCGGAATTGTGGAATCAATCCCAACATTTTTTCATAACAGGCTTTGCGCACAATACATTTTCACATCACAGTTGAGTAGTTGGAAGATTTTTGTCAAGAGCCGCGGCAATCTCGGGTCCTGGATCCCCCTTGCCGCATAGAAGTTTCAATATGGTTCAATTTTAGTTGCATAAGACCATCTGCTGCTGCGGCCGCCTAGCTGTAGCATCCGAACTTAGGTATGTGGGTAGACGCGAAGAGGATACCATGCTGCTGTGCCCTGGGCTCATAGTGTAGCATGTTGGGGGATTGTGGGTCCGTGGGTTTTGGCATTCGTGACGGTGGGATGTGCATCCTGCTGCAATTCGTCGTTCCATGTTGCAAGTTGTGGCGTCTTGAATCTGAGTGCCATTACCAACTCAGGGTCGATGCCCCGTACACAGCCGAAGTCCTGCACGCTCACTCGGGCCAGCTGCACCCTGTCTATCGGCCTCTTGTGCTTCGCCGGCAACTTCAGAGGGTCTGAAAGTATCCTGATAAGGTTCCGACACCGAGACAACCTGCCATGAGTTTGAGGGCAGTTCGAGTGTGTTTTTCAGACTTGGCGGACTCAGCTACTCGCAGCTTCGTTCTCCAGAACGCTCTTCTGCAGGGACCTCTGCAGCCTGATGCGTGCAGCAAGTCCTCCTTCAATGGGTCCTCAAAGTGTGTCCCTCTCAAGGCTTCCTCCTGCCGTGGAAGGTCGGTATTCTGATGTTGACAACACCTTGATTCGATGCAGTCCTTCGTGCCCGCAGAAAGGAAATTGATTAAGCTCCGCTTTGCTTGCTTACCTTTTCAATCTAAGTCGTTGCCGTGCACAAGTCGAGATGCCAGTCTCCTGTCTCGGGACGAGGAAGGGCTGTCTCGCATACGATATGCCGAGGCACATTGTTCTTTGGAGAGTCTTGCGACGTCTGTCTCTGTCTGCAGACCAGACTGCAAATCTCAGTGAGTCCTGCCGTTATGTCGTATGTTGTCATGTTTTGCATTTCTTTGGCTACGTGGTTGTTGCTTACTGGGGATGAAGCTCAAGTGCGAATTGCCAAAGAATAATGGAGTGAATGCAGCGGCTCACCCCGTAGTTTTCAAGTGCTCCAGCTGCGGAGCTGGCCTTTGCCGTTGAATGCGGGATGAACGGGGACGTGACGGTTGGCCCTTCATCCAACAGTTTCGATGCAAGCTGTGTGTCACCCCCTGGTGGGCTCATTGCTTTGTGGTTAGTGCAGAATGACTCGCAGCAGCTGTCCAGCGGCTCACGACACTCCCACTGCCGAGTGGGACTCCTCGGCAGGACAAATTTCCTTCTTGAGGATCTGCATCCAAAAGCAAGCAAGCTCGAGATGGTGCATACTGCCCGGCACGAGATGCCCAGCTAGAACTTGCTTCTGACGCGGTGAGGTGGAGGGCTTGTTGTCCATGTTTCTAGAGATGTGATAGCCTCGTTGTCGGTGGCACTAGGAGAATCGTGAGAGATATCGATACTCTCCCAAACCGATTCGGTCCAAAGCCGGTCTTAGGACGTCGACACGGCTTCCGTGTCGGTTGCCGCACGCTACTTCTGTGCATCTGTCAACATGCAAGACCGGCAAGATCCTAGGCTGTCTACTTGACTCGCTTCAAGTACGCACCCAAACTGGCCACAGCCCAAGAGGAACTGGGGCTGGGTTGGAGACTAGCAAGCGTCGACAAAGAAGACTAGGATACGAATTCATCCCGTCGCTGAGGATCAAATCCTCGTGCCAAAGTCCAGATCTGCGTCTGTCACGTCGCAGTCAGTGCCTTGCCGGTGATTACAGGTGGTCTCCTGGCGTGTTGTTCAGATGTCCTTTTTCCCAGTGGAACGGGCGTAAGGCCGTGCAAGCTGCTTTAGAGTTTAGCGCTGCGTGGCACCGGTTATCGCTGACCGCGTCAGGAGTGGATGTTTCACCTGCTTGTGTCCCTTGGGGGCGAGAGACTCTCGGCAGGCAAAGCACGAGCAGCTCCCAACAGCTACCAATCACTTGCAACAAGCATATATGCTCTCGGGTCCCGGGCCACCACCACCCCACCCATGGTATCCCCCTATTGGTTGCTGCTGCGGATTGGGGGTGTCGCCCTACCCTACCCCTGCCCCCACCCCCGATGGCCCCTATGATACCCAACCCCCGCATGATGTTCCGCATGATGTCAAAGATGATCTGATTGNNGACTCGCGAGCCATGAGCAGTATCACGGGCAGCAGGCACAACTGCGAACAAGGCCAACCAAAGCCTCAGCTAAGGGCGGGGATGCCACCACAGGTCCCACCCCACAGGGGGGGCGGGGGTGGGGGGGAGGGGGGGGTGTGGCAGCCCTCCATCATATATGTCGGGTTCATATCCGGAGCTCCAAGGCTCCAAATAACTCGAAATCCTGCGGTAGAATCGTTAGTGCGGTTGTTCGATGAGATTTCAGGCATTATAATTTACACAACCATTTGAAACTCCGAAGATTGAACTCCCGGCAAGTCTTGCAAAAAGTCCAAGAAGCTAAGACCTAAGAACACGCCTCCGGCATCCCACACATTTCTAGCGGGTCCCATCCAAGGTTTCGCGCCTAAGTTCGCCATCCAGAACTCTTTCCTCAGCCTGCGAACCTAGCTTGGGTCAGGGCTTTCAGGGCTGCATTCTCTCCTATTCTCTCCAGAATCTGTCTGGTGTTGCAGTTGCCTGGTGTGAAGCCTGGCTGTCCCGAAGTGACGTTCCCTTTGTGCAGGTGCTGCTAGCATCGTGGCAGAAGTTTGGCTTATCCACGGCTTTGGCTGCTGTGTGCGCAAAGCTGCTGCTACTGACAGGCTTCGAAGACTATGCGGCCTACCAGGCCATTGCTTACCTTCCTGGTCCGCATAGCTACTCAATCGCAGTCAGTGGGCTTACAATGACCTTCTGCCTGGTGTGTGCCTCCCGGAATAGCGCTTGTTCCGTGACATCTCGGTATGTTGCTCAAGGCGACCAAGGTGGGCAGGTGTTCTTCAACACTTGATACCCGGAAGACAATCCATGGGTTCAAAGAAGTTGAAAATCGAGGTTGGGTGTTGATGCAGTGGCGTGAGTTTTACAGCATGGCTGGGGCCCCAGCGAAGTGGCTGAACGAGCATGTAATTTTGGGATCGGAGCATGGAGGATGATTCGTTTACCATCGGTGTTAATGTCTTCAAAAGCGGGACTTTACGAGGCCCTCGCAGGCTGACCAGTTCGCCTTCGTCCCACTCGCACTCAGAAGACTTAGGTGGCTAAAACCCTGCGAATCGGTCCCGGGACGCCTTGAGACGTACGGCTGAAGCTGGAGCTTGAGACGCCACCAGGTCAATCTCGAAGTGCAAGCCTGTCCAGGATGCGAACCATGGCAACATGCCCGATCCTGTTGGGAACACTGGAAGCCAGTCTCTGAAAGCCACCTGGAGAACGAGTAGAGGAAGCAACTGAGAATGACGCTGGAGAGAGTTTCTTTGTCGTCAGGCTGGTCAGTCGAAGCCTGCAGCACCAATCAGTAGCACCGACAACAAGACATGCTGGAATACCGCAGTGGGATCTTGCACACGACTGGATGTGCGTTGAAAAGGGGAGATTACTGTATGGGGAAAGAAGATGCACACGGCAAAACGCTGAAAGCGCTCAAAAACTGAGCTGAGGGAGGAAGCACGAATAGTGTAACCTGCGGTTCGCATAGCGCCGCCACAGGCTGCATGCGAGTGAACACTGGGCTTCAGGAAGACAGCTGTTGTTGAAGCCACGCCGTGCCACATCCAGAAGCTAGATTTTGACAGCTAGGGATTGCAAGTGTTGCTGTCGGGAGTTTGCTTTCGCCTTTACATACATTCTGATTTAAAGCATGGCAGCTGGTGGTTCTACGATGGTTGATTTGAAGTCACTTCGACCGACTGTGGTAGAATAGCAATTCAAGTGCAAAGCTGTCGACCGCATGCTAGTGACAGGTTGTGCTGCTGCAACAGGTTCTCACCGGTCGTTGCATTTTACCACAGAGGAACCCCGAACTGGACCGAGAGGTTCTTCTGAAGCGGACCAGCATTGCGAGAACCTGCCGTCTTTTCGCGTGTTTCTCAAACACAACACCTAACTCACGGCAAGAGCTGCGCCAGGACATGCCGCTTTTCGTCCCACACAGAGAGGCAGAGCAGTTGTGTTGTCGCAGCAACACGAAATTAGATGCACCGTGCCTTGATACGACTTATCTTTTCGATCATCAACTTGACCGAGTCGGCTGTCCTCATTGCCTTCTTTCGATCTGCTTCGCCGTGATCGGAAGTTTCTCTCTCAGTGCCGAGAGCTCACACCAGCACGTTGGACAACAACCTTTCCGCATAAGTCTTGTCGGCCCGACGAGGCCAACTGGTTCTCGTGATCCCGAAAGTGTAGCTTTGCACTTCACGGCCTCATCGAGTCCAGAAGCTATTCGAAGGAGTCAATCTCAAGAGCAGCTTGTGGTGAATACTTCGTAGCCATCGTTTTGTTTCCATTCTTCAATGTCGTCTGCTCGTAGCACGTGTGTTGGACACAAGTGTGTTCCAGAAGTACAATTGGAGTGTCCAGGCTTGCCTTCGGAGAACTCACCCGGGGTCGTGCAGCAGTGTCGGTAGTGCAATAATTCATGGCCAGCCTAAGCTTGAAATCATTTCATTGCTGATCCATGCCAGTCACGGTCCAAAGCCCAAAGCAGTCTCGTCATCGTTCAGGATTTGCTGGCCCACTCACGGTACTGGCATATCAACCTCTGGAACAACTTGCCCCATGGCTTTCGCAGGTTGAGAGGTTCACGGTTTGGAGTCATTCCGTGTAGGTTCAGATTTTCGTCGGCCCTTCCGTTTGATGATTACAAAAAACTCCAATTGATGTTGCTTCTTATGCGGTGTCCTCCGATCTAACCCACTCTGCATCACTCTGCCATTGGCAAGCAGGTTTGCTCAAGGTTTGGGGTTTAAAACCTGGGAAGCCACGAGCCCTGCCCAGATGCCCAGGAAGTCTGTGCCAGAGGAGAATTGGATGCAAAAAAGGGAGCCGCCTGGCTTGGATTTGGAGCCTGGCATTGCACCTGGGCCTGGCCCGAGTCTGAGGTTCTGGTCTCAGCGCCATCCGTACCGGCCATTCCCACCACAGGACGACTGGGCACTCAAGTCATGACCTTTGCCTCAGAGGTTTCTGTAAGGTTTGGGAGCTCGTCTTCGACGCAGGTTTCTGAATACTCAATGTTAGGGCCCATGATTTGACAGTCAGGCTCATGCGAAATTGTTGCGATGGAGGGCCTGCAGTGCAACCTGAGCTGCGGATGTTGCACGCCACTTTGTTGGCAGCAGCTTGTTCTCCGGAAAGCCGGCTGCACTCCAACTTTCGAACTTACATGACGGTTCTGTAGGTACCCCGAGCTTGTTGTAGCGCCACGGGCGAACTCTGCGGCTCCGCTTGCGGTCTACTTGGGTTAGCGGGAACGGTGGGAAAGCCAATGCGACCGAACTTAGATGCAGGCATCTTCAGAAAGCAACGCAAGCTTGGAAGATCTTGGCCTGAGGATCAGTGGTCCGGCGAGTATGCCGTGCCCTCGGTACATGCCCAGCTGAGACTGAGCTCTCGAGATCTCGCTTTGAGAGGTCCGTGCAAGCATGTACTGGTCTCAAAGCCTGGAATACTTGACGTGGCCCTTTGCCGGAAGCTTGGTGTCTTGGTACAGGAACTCGACATATGGCGGTGGTCAGTGCTGCGGCACCATGAAGTGTTTTAAACGAATGCCTCGAGGAGCGTTTGCGGGCCCAAGCAGCCAGGACAGCACAGGATGCTGCGGGCCCGGGCGCCAATGCGTGCTCTTTTGGTGGTAGGCAGGCTCCCTGCCGCGTCCAGGGCATTCCATGGAGTCACCGGGTTCCGCCACGTTCTCCCGGGCAGGCCACTAAAGTGTGTTGCCCGCCCGGTTGTCATGCCTGGACAAAGGCGATGGGGTTCACCCATGCCGGGGGGGTGCTTGGAACATTATCTCCAGCTGAGGGCAGCTGGTGAGCTTCAAGAAGACCCACACCAAGAGGTTTGCATGAATATGCTCGACGATCTAGCTAAAGACCTGATGAGCTACAATCCGAAGATGACCAAGGCCGTAGCCGGGATTGCATCTGCCAGCTTTTTTTAAGGTTCTTGAGCCGAAAACACAGCCACAAAGTTCGATCCTTGAGCTACATCGCATGGTGCCTGGCCGAGGCAAAGTCCCCGAGCCCCGCTGCCGCCCCGGCCGGTGGCTGCCTGGATCTTGTTCAGAGCTGTTGCGTTTGAAGGTTAGTAGCTCAGCACCTAGCTCAGTAGCTTTCGGAACTTGTTGAGCTGAGGCGGATTCTTGGGAGGCCTCTTTGGAGGTAAGGCTAAAGCGGCCAAAGCGACGGCACCCAAGGCCGAGGTAGCGCTCAAACCCGCCCCGGGGCAAAGAGGACTCTACTTATGGGGGGGCACCGGCACTGGCAAGACGTTCATGATGAACATGTTCTATGACAAGATCAAAATTAAGGAGAAACAGCGCATTCATTTCCACGAGTGGATGATTGATGTCCATTCGCGGCTTCACAAGAAGCAGAAGGGGAGCAGCATGAACTCTCAAAACACTGCCGACGACTTGGTTGAGCAGGTTGCGACCGACATGATGAAGGACGGCTGGCTTCTGTGCTTCGATGAATTTCAGGTCACACACATCAGCGATGCCATTATCATGAAGCGCATCTTCTCCGTACTTTTCGAGCTCGGGGCGGTGGTTGTTGCCACCTCCAACCGTCCTCCGCAAGACTTGTACCTCAACGGCCTGAACAGGCCTTTGTTCTTGCCTTTCATTCCCATGCTCGAAGAGTTTTGCAAAGTGCACGACATTGGCGAAGAGGTGGACTACCGCATGATCTCCACGCAAGAGGAGGACCATCGAGTATACATCACCCCCAATGGTCCGCATGAGCAGAAGCTTTTGGAGGCCAAGTTCGAGAAGGTTTGTCATGGCCATTTCCGTACAGATGCACTGGTAGAGACGCAGGGCCGCAAGGTCAATGTCCCACGCTGTGCTGAGAATTCAGATGTTGCTTGGTTTACATTTTCCGACCTATGCAACCAGGCTTTGGGGGCAGCAGATTATTTGGCAGTAGGCAACGCCTTCCATACAGTATTCATATCGAATATCCCACGTCTTACCATGCAAGAGCGTGATCAAGTTCGTCGTTTCATCACCCTCATCGATGCTCTCTACGAATGCCACACCAAAGTGATTTGTACGGCCGAGCTCGACCCGATACAGTTGTTCTACGTGACTGAAGAGGAGCGTAAGACTTCCATTGCCGATGAGATTTTTGCCTGGGATCGCACAGTTCCTGTGACGGCATGCAGCCAGTTTGTTGTCCTGACCAAGTCCAGATCTAGAGCAGTCGTTTGTTGAACTGTTGCCTCAGACTCCCAGGTTAGCCGACTGACGGAGATGCAATCCACCGCCTACCTCAGTGTCGCTGCCAGGTCTCTCACTAGTGAGCAGTTCCTGAGTCAGTACAAGCCCTTTGACCGCACTTCGCGCAATTGGTCACTTCCTCTCCGAGAGCAGCAATGTAGAATTTCGGCGTGAAACACCCCGACAAGGTAGGATTCCACCCACAGCTAAGGCTCAAGAGTCTGACGGACGAAGACTGCAAGGAGTTGTGGCGTCGCTATGATCGGGATGACAGCAACTACTTGGACTTGCACGAACTTCGGCTGTTCCTGGAGGACTTGCTTGAAAGGCATTGTGGTCACCGCGACCTTTCCAACGAGCTCTTTGACCTCTGCCGTGCGGCCATTGCTACGAATTCAGATGGCCACGTGAGCTTCGAGGAGTTTCAGAACTACCTGTGTGACTACTCTACGATTGAGTCTCAGCTTGGAAGCGCATGAGTCCCTGCTTGGTCTTTTTAACCCGAGCTTGGACGTGCCTGAAAAGCTAAGAAGCTTTTCTAAAGGACTTTCTTAAGACCGCTTCAACTTTCTTAAGGCGAACCTGTTGGTTCGTCACAATCCTTGCGTGCAACGATAAACTGCGAACTGCACGAGTTCCAGCACACTCGCGAACTTCAAAAAGACCTCAGCAAGATGGATCTCAAGAGCAGGCATGTCAGCGTATTGTGACTTCCGTTGTGTTGCGTATTGACGTTGGATGCCCACTCACACGACTGGCTTGGCCTTCTTTTCTTGCCAGCTCCGCACAACCTTTCATACATCTTGAGATCCTGACAGATTCGAGGTTCAGCAATTTCGTGGAGTTCCCGACTTGCTGCACAAGGCCAGGGTAGCGCCGGGATGCGTAAAGCCTTCTACTTCTACGCCTTCACAATAGAATGGCTTCAGATGACGGTTGAAGAGCCAAAGTCCATGCGAGATCCCAGGTGTCGCAGGGCTCCGGAGTGTTGCTTTGTAGTTTGTGGAGTGGGGAGGCTGGGGTTGCCGCTGACTAGTCGCCTCCTGGATGCCTCGACGCCGTCATGTGCTAAAATTTGCCTCTGCACCGGCGAGGCCAAATCGCTGGACTTCGCCGAAATCTCACGGCACATGTCCGGGCCTTGGCCTGGCGAAGAACGTAGCTTTCCGACGTTTGCCTCCAGTGCTGAGGCATTAGCATGTACAGTGAACTCCGTTTCTTGGGCTAAGGCCTTTTGCGTCGTGAGCAGGTGTTACTGTTAGTGGGATCTCAACAAAAGTATGTGTCCTTGTCCTCCTGCTAACTGTCGGATGTTTTTCTTGGAGTGGCGGGGTGGCGCGAGGTCTGCTTGGAATCAAGCAGCTTGCGAGAAGGCCAAGGACTCTCCGGTCTTTGCTTCCAATATGCATCATGTTGCTGCCCCAGCTGTGGTACCGCATCTTTCGGCTGCGTAGTTGCGTTGGCATTCACTGCAAAGTGCAGCTTGTATTTGCGCTTCTCCCTCAAATGCAAGAGATGCACAGAAGTCTCGGTAACTAGACCGTGCTTTTGCAGGACTTTTGGATCTCGGCGTGACGTGACTGCAATTACTGCAAGTTCAGTCGCCAACAGGAAACACGCTATTCTCGAAAGAGAGGATGTTGCCGGACTTGTGGCCGCACAGCTGCCGAGTTGTTTTCCTATCCTTAGGCCCAAGGCATTCCAGGCAGAAGAAGCGAGCAGGAACCCGCCAAAACCGTGTCTTCAGGCTCCCCGGCCTCCTGACGGTCGAAGAGGCGACTTCGGGACTTCAGTGGAGTTCTGCGTGCGGAGGCATTTTTTGCATCTCCGATTTTTGGACGCGATGCTGGGGCACAGCGCTGGCGAGAGCTCGCGATAGTTCGCTAGACTTCAAGTAGGCAAGGAGCCCGAGGAGGCGGACGGTGGCTAATTGCAGGACGAGTCATCGTTTTGGTGACTTCGAGTGGTTCGAAGGCCAGGATTAGCACGGGGCGAGAGGACGATTTCTTCCCCAAGCAGCCCGCGGTAAGCACGGGACTGTGGCGGAGCGTAATTCAAGAATCCAAAGTGTTCGGTGCATGGTGGAAAGAATGCGACTTTGGTCCAAACATGTGGGGTGCATTGATAACAAGAAGCCGCAGAACGGCTGCAGGTGTCGGCTGCGCACGCCGCGTGGTCCTACAAACCAATACCTGCATCTACCCTGAGCGTATGTCCCGTAGTCTGAGACTTCATTGTTCTGGAAATATCTCATATGCAATGTGTTCTGAGGCAGATCATGAACCCAATGCAATCGAGTGAAGAGGAAGTGTTTGGGAACTGGCATGGGACAGAACCCTCCATTCTTGAAACCTCAGCCACAGACTTTTTTGATTCAGAAACTCTGTGTGGATAACGGACGCCCTATTCCTGTGCGCTTGCTTCATGTGCTCCCACAATGTATTGTAGTCGGCGGATTTGTCGAAGAAAACCTTGTTCCCTTATGATCTCAATGACGACACAGTGCCTGCCCAACAAAGCCAGAAACTTCAATCCTGTTTAGCCCGCCGGCAATTTTCAATCCACCTGCCATATCCTCCGGACGATGTTCCGCGCAAATTCGTCAGGCGAAGGATCCTACGAAGCCGTCGCGGCATGTGCGATCAAGTCCGCTCGAGTCGATGATTCGCACGCACAACTTGAACTTGAGCCCTAAGGCTCAGGCTCATCAAACAGCAACAGAACGATCTTCAGGGCAGAGGGCTTTGACAGCACGAGAAGCAAGGTCAAGCAACCATTATTAGTGCCAAGCCCTCGGCAGCTTGCGAGTGGTGACACCTCGCCGACCTCACCTCCTCCGTGTAAGAAAGCGGCACATGCTTGTTGGCACAAAGTTTAGGAAAGCCTCTCGGGTGAAAGCGTTGAGCTTACCGCGTTTGCTTCTCTTTTTCAGGGTTGAGTGTTTTTTTCAAGACATGCTCTCAGGTGTTGTGGGGTAGCGTCTTTGAGGCTTCATAAACTCAGGGGACACGTTGCGCAGTCTGCACCCATGCTGAAACCTGGCGGCTGTTGGAAGGTTGTTGTTCCCAGAGTGACTGCAAGGGTTGTTTAGTGCACGGAGGCATGGCTCTACTGAATCATCGATGTTCACCTACTTGTTTCTGTTCGTCTTACGTAGATCTAGTTCCCAAGCTGCAAATCAAGCGAACCCCAAAGTTCCGATGCAGGTCACTGTGCAGGACAGACCCGGAGAGCCAGAGAATCAAAACAGACCGCTGTTGTTCCCTGCAAGCTGTAGAGACTCAATTACCTCTGTAGAAATGCGACCAGCGAAGCTTTTGCACGGCCGAGGTGTGTAGCGACTGATATGTACGTTGCTCAATCGAACGCAGCCGTGTCAAGTCTTGCATGCTTGCAGTTGACTTCAAAGCATCAGAGGCCCTGTGTTCTCATGAGCCCGGGAGCACAGAATCTCGTCCAAAACCTTTGGAAGATGCCTTTTATAGCTGTTGCCTGCTTGCGTCCTGGCCTTCCATGTGAGTGGTGCGGATGTGACCTTAAGCCGAAGGCGCGGGATCGCGAGACTCCAAGCTACATCCTGAGTGGTACCTCCCCGCTACTTCATGTGCCTGCAAGTCGAGATGCCCTTGAACACATGATAATTAAACTGTCAAGTCCATGGCAGTTTCGAGCAGCCTTGGGTTCCAAGCAGTTTCGGCAGGGTGTGCTGGCCAGGCAACAGTGGTAGAAGATGGGGAATGAGCGCAAGTTCATCCACCACAGCAGCCTGCTTAGAGTGGTTGTGGCTGTTCTGATTGTCGTCCATCCACGGCTCTTCCTTGACATATCACGCACATAAAGCTTTGATCTTGATGTCTTGTTGAGTTGATCTGGCCAATGCAGATTGCAGTCAGAAAAAGATACAGAGTATCCGCAACTCATGGATCATAGTCATAGTTGTCTAATTGTGTGTGCACGTTTTCTACGATGAACCAGATCGTGCTGCAAGCCGAAGCGCATGTTGCAAGTATTTGCAAGTGCAAGGAATGGCTGAGCTTGATTCGACAGTGTGTCTCTGATGGCTTGGGTGTGCCAGAAGAAGACGTCGAGGAGAAATCTTCGGCCATGAGTCGCACCTGAAGGTCATAGGTATGATGCCATCGAAGCACTGGGTCCAGACCGGTGCTGTAGCTCTGCTTTTTCGGCTGCAGTTCTTGGTGTACATGATTCGACCATGGCATGTGCAAGCCCCTTGTTGCCCTTTCGATCCAAGCAGCATTTCTTTGATTCTGGCAGGAGGATGTGCCATTCGGGCAGGTGTGGGAGCTGTGGTGCTTGTTTCTTGAAGATACCTAGGTCCAGAATTGTCAGTGAGGCATAGCTGAAGTTGGGCGATGATTGTTTTTTTTTGTCTTTGGTGTGCCCTCTATGCTGTGCAGATTGGTCTGACCTCTGCTGGTGCTCTTGTTCTTCGCGACATCGTGCTGAAGGCACGGGACCAAGTCATGACGGTACAGAATCAAGTCTTCACCCCCGCGGTTTCTTGCAGGAGCTGCATCTGACTCCCGGCCACCTGCCCTTGACTTTGGCCTTCGACTTCCCAACGCTTCGAAAGCTGGCGACTTTCTTGCGAGACGCTCAGGGACAGCCGGCCTTGTCCACGGTGCCAAACCGGGAGACGGGGGCTATCGAGTCCCTGTTTCGGAGCGTCGGAGTGCAGTGCATCACAACCACTCTGGCGGACAGCAGTCAACACCAGCAGTTCTTGCAGACCGCTGTCATTGGCTGCGATGCAGCCGTGGAGACACCTTTGGCAAGATGGGATGTGAACGCGTATTGCGAGTATAACGACACCGTGTTTGTGACTCACCATGGGTCTTTTCTGGCAGAGATCGACTTCTTTGACGCAGCTCACTTTGAGATGAACGTTGCCGAGGCTGCTGTTATAGATCCGGGGCAGCGTCTGGTCCTCCAGTGTGCATGCGAAGTGCTACTGCCACAGGCAGAACCACATAACCGCTCGGCTAGCTGTGCAGTCGTCGTTGCGCAGTTTCAGAACGACTGGTCTCTGCTCATGGGATCTTGCAGTGGGATTTCGCCGAGCTCGCATGCAAGTGCAGCTGTTTGTGCTCTGGCTGCACGAGACTGAGGGGGTTCAACGGTTCAACAACTCCAGACCGGCACAACCTGCTTTGCCGACGCTGACCCACTTAGGGTTGGTGTTCCAGATTCGTGGTTGGACTGTGAGCGAGGTGCCTGCATCGCAGCAAATCGGGTTTCCTTCAGCTCGGGCCCCGGTGCATGCGTTCATGACCACAGGCAGCTCATGCGTGTGTTCTAATCCAATCGTTTCGCTGTAGAGTTCTTGTTTCTGTTCGGCTGCCATCGCTTGCGCCCATCTTCTACCGTCTGAACTGTTTGGATATGACTTTGAAGAATCCGATCAGCCCGGCTAGGCTTTGACCTACATGGACCCAGCTTCGCCATAGACACCGCCTGCTCCTCGGCCCTGGTGGCAGTCTCGCTGGCAGCCCAGCTTACTTGCGCAGGAGACCCCCGGGCCCCGGTTCAGATTTGAAAAACGGTCAAGATCGAACTTCCGACCTGGCATTCTCCTTTCAATCCGGTTCAGGAGCCTCACCAGCATTGGCTGCAGCAGTCAACCTCCTGCTGCACCCCGCAGTCTTTCGATACCACAGCAGCTCAGGCGGGCTTTGCCAATCAGCCACAGTGCCCACTGAAACATACTGAAACCAACTACCTAGCTCTCGTGCTTGTTGTGCGGCAAGCAATGACCTAGCACGGCCCTCTGTTTCGGCTTAGCCATGTTTGTGCCAGGACTGCTTTCGCGCAGTGGCCGCTGTCGCAGCTTCGATGCCAGTGCAGATGGCTACGGCCGGGCGGAGGTCATGGCCCATTTGCATGCGTATGCATGTCTT